TTTGTGAGGGTTTTGACTGGGAATCAATTGGAGGTAAGTCCTATGGTCTAGAAACATCATTTTATTGAAGAATCTACCTTTAATTCTTGGAAATTGGGTAAAAATTTGGAAGAACTAGGGCTTAGGTTTTGGAATAAAAATTTGGGATTTGAGGTGGCATTTGAACTCCGATTTTGGTAAATTTGATATGTATGGACTCGTGGCGAGACGAGGAATCCGGTGATGTGAATTTCGTAATTTTTCGAGAAGTGGGCCCGGGGCTCGGGTTTTGCCAACTTCGTGGTTTTTGATAATTTTCGAGTCTTTTCGATTGGGTTATGTTCCCTTAGCCCATTATGATGTATTCCTTGTGGTTTTGACCAGATTCTACGCACGTGGGTTGATTTGCGAGGCAAGCGCAAAACGAGCGTAGGATTTCGGCCGGCTTGAGGAGAGTAACAGTTATAAATGACGTTCTGAGGGTTTGAAACCCCGGATTTGCACTATGTGGTGCTATGTTGAGGTGTAAAACACGCTGTATGATGAGCGTGGGGTTGCTACTGCTGGGGATTCGGACTCGGTCCATCCTGATTGATGACTCTACTGTATTTTTGGCTGACATTTAATTAATATCAGTATATTCTGGGCTAGTTGCCATGTTTGGGGCCTTGTGCCGATCTGTAGAACCCTTAGGGGGTACTTTGTACTAGTTGACTTCACTTTACTTGTCGAAATTATACCCTCAGTCATGTTCTTAACTGTTAAACATAACATGAACCGGCTTTAGAATTGGCAATCCAAATGAGGAACACCTGGGGTTGGAAACCCTGTCTTAGCTGAGTGGGCCCGAGAGGCCAAGTCTATATTGACTGAGAGGGGTCAAGGGCCCCATAGTGAGGGTATTTGATATATATACCGGATCGGGCTGCACGCCGCAGCGAAATACATATATATATATATGGATCGGACTGCATGCCGCAGTGATATATTATATGGATTGGACTGCACGCCGTAGTATTATAGCGCTTGGGCTGTAGGAGCCCCTCCGGAGTCTGCACACCCCCAGTGAGCGCAGTCGACTATTATTATTGGATCGGGCTGCACGCCGTAGCAGTATATATTATTATTGGATCGGGTTGCACGCTGCAGCAATATATATATATATATATACATATATATATATATATGTATATATTTATATATATATACATATATATATATATATATGTATGTATGGATCGGGCTGCACGCCACAGCAATATACTGTACGGGCCGGGCTGCACGTCGCAATAGTGTAAGTAAATTACCGGACTTTGAGAGGAGTAAGTGAGTTGTGTACTGGTTTGAGGGATATTCACCTGTTTCCCTCACTTAGCTGTTGTTTACTGCATTTGTTTTTTTGATATAGAACTGTGTAGTGTTTTTACGAGTTTTCTTATCTTCAGTCGTTATTTATTTCTGCTACTCACTGAGTCGGAGTACTCACTTTACTCCCTGCACCATGTGTGCAGATACAGGTATCCAGGAGGCTCCGTAGAGTGTTTTGCTATTGCTCAGATTTGATACCGGAGTTATCGAGGTAGCTGCATGGCGTCCGCAGGACCCTATTCCTCCCCTTACCCCCCTTTGTTTCCGCATTTTAGACCTTTATATGTATAGGTTACAACTCGGTTGTATGTAAAGGCTCTAGACTCGTGACACCAAATCCTTTGGGCGTTGTTTTTGGTATTTGCTATGGTTTCTCCGCACTGATTTAGCTATTATCACATATTAGAATCATGCTTAACTGGTAATTTAACTCTATTATTTGGTAATGTGTTTCGTACCTGGGTTGAGAGTGTTCAAATGGTCGGGCTTGCCTAGCATTGTGTTGGGCGCCATCACGACCGGGATTGGGGTCGTGACAGTTAGGATACATTCTTATATTTCTCAGTGGCCCTTGTTATTGAATATGATGAGAAGATTCACCATGCAAAAAAAATTGGTGAAACCGGGCAAGACAAGGTTCGCAACTGCTTTCTTGACTTTGCATAGTATCCACTTGCAAAAAGGCAATTTGAGAAAGTTGGTCACTTCAGAGGAATGGAGCAAGATTAAATTTGCAAAGGAAAGTGCGGAAAGAGGTTGCACGCATTATTCTTTCTTATTCTTTTTGGAATAATGTCCTTCATGCTCTTAAAATTGGTGGCCCTTTGGTTAAAGTACTCCGTTTGGCGGATGGGGAGCAAAACCCACCAATGGGCTACCTCTATGAAGCTATGGATCCAAGGAGGCTATTCAAGCATCATTCACTAATGAGCAGAAATATGCAAAGGTCTTTCAGATCACTGATGCAAGATAGAATGAGCGACTTCATAGACCTTTGCATGCAGCTGGACTTATTCTGAACCCATCACTCTTTTATGATCAGCATAAGAATAATTCATTGGCTAAAGACGTGTGGACAGGATTCCATAAGGTTGTTATCAAGTAGACCCCAGATGAAGACTTGCAAGAAAAGATAGTAGATCAGCTTGCTACTTACAAGGCAGCTGAAGGACTTTTTAAGCTCCGACTTGCAATTAAACAAAGAAAGACGAAATCGCCAGGTGACCAAGTGTTTCTATATTTTATAGCTCTAACTTCAATTTATTTTTTATACTTATTAACTCTTGAACATTTTTTCTGACTTCTATAGTTGAGTGGTGGGACCAATACGGTGCAGAGACTCCGGAGTTACAGACTTTCGCCATGAAAGTTCTAAGTTTAACTTGTAGCTCATCCGGATGTGAAAGGAACTGGAGTGTTTTTGAATACGTGAGAAATAAAAAAGAATTATTTTGTGTTTTGAGATAAAGTAAATTATATCTCAATTGTCCAAACTCCTACTAATTAGTTGACACATCTTGTTTGCAGATTCATACAAAGAAGAGGAATCGACTAACCTTGAAGCGCCTCCATAATCTAGTGTTCATAAAATACAATAGAGCATTGAGGCGTTGCTACAACCACCGCAATATAATTGATTCATTTTTTTTGGACAATATTGATGAGGCTAATGAGCGGCTAACCGGAGTCCCCGAAAATTGTGAAGATGAAGAAGTATTTGAAGGCGAATCCGATTTCACTTGGGGTGATGTTGCGGTTGGTAGTGGAGTTGGGGAGAATCCTTATGGTTTAGGGAGATATACTCCAAGTTCAGCTCTATTAGGAAGGGAAAAAGTGTGGCTACTACAAGTCGATCCCTATCCCTAATTGATGAAGATGAAAGTGATCATGAAAAGAAGGGGAAGAAGATGACGACGAGCAATATGAAGATAATAAAGGAATTCAAGATTTTGACAATCTTGAAGAAGAAGAAGAAGAAGAGTAGAAGAATAAGATGTTGATACTAGTAGGCAGAATAACCTCTTAGACACTTGTACTTGTGTCACTTTGTCATCCCGGTCCCTATAATCTACAAAGTTTCATCCAGACACTTTAACTTGATCAATACTTATATTTTAAACCCCTCTGACCATTGACCAAGCACATGTGGCAACAAAATGGTTGAACCGGACAATACGAGTGTAGTTCACGCGGACAACGAGCGTGAATATGATATTTTGAATAAGAAATAATTAAAATAAGAAGAAAAAAAATCATTAAAATAAAAATGAAAAATAAATTCAAAAGATAAACATAAAATAAGTCAAAAAAGAAAAAAACCCGTACGCTTCTTCTTCAACAAACCCCGCACCCCTCCTTTTTTTCTCCATGTACGCTTCTTCCCCCCCCCCCTAAACCACCCCTGGCTTTTCCCTTTTCGTTTTCTTTTCCTTCTATACTGTTGCTTCTTCTTCTTTCCCACTCTCCCCCTCCCCCTTCAAAAAAAGAAAAATAACCCGATCCCTGAAGTTCCCTTAACCATCTCTGTTTACCCATGGTGTCATGAACAAGTCAAAAATATACGAAAAAGGGCAGCGAGTATTAATTTTCGAGCTGGACGAAAAATGGTCCACCGAACTTCTTCTCTGCCATCTAATGCCTTCAACCATGGAAATTGACCACCGAACTTCTTCTCCCACTTTTTGATATGGAAGAAAATTAATTTTACCTCGATTTTTTTTCTTTATTCATTTTAATTTTATTTCTATAATATAAAAAGGGAAGAATTGAAAGGGGAGAGGAGGCAGAACAAGAGAGAATGAGATGGGCAGGAGGAAGAACACCAGGGGAGAGAGAGAAATCAACGAGGGAGGGGGTTAGGGGATTAATGTTTGAATTTTATTTTTTGATTTTTGATTTTAATTATTTTTAATCTGCCATGTGACATGGCATCTACACATTGTTATTTTTTGACGTGGCAGCTAACGTGGAAGAGATTGTATTACACGCACTGTAGCCTCTTGTCATAAGCGTTTATTATACACAATTTGAAGGAGTGTAAGTGTTCAATTGGAAAATTATTAAGTTGGGGACCGACATGACAAAGTGGCACAAGTATAGGAGTTATTTAGGCTATTCTGCCATTCTAGTAATTTAGTAGCTTTGATTTTGCTTGTCCTATGGTTTGTGGATGATTTGGTGTTATTTATAATAGTACATTATGTTTTTTTAAGAATTGCGCTTCGCTTTTGAAGCGAGGCAAGCCCTTGTCGCTTTTTTGCGCTTCGCGCTCTCATAACACTGTATTAAGTAAAGCTTGATAAGAGTTGGGCGGGTTGGGCTATGACCCAAATTTTAGCTCATCTTGAACCATCACATCTTATCTCAAGTAACTTTTGGGCACCCGCCAATTATTGACTCAACCGGTTTTAACCCGCCCATAATCGGCCCAACCCGCCCATTTGACACCCCTAGACTATCAACCTTTCAACACTGATGGAAGGAGAAATTATATCCAAAGTAGGAATGAATGAGGACAGAAAATGCAAACATTAACATTTTGCAGTATGGTTGAAACATACATACACTCATAAGCCAAATACTTCACAGAAAAAGTAAATATAGTTGCAGAGGAAAAAGAAGTACTAAGGAAAAGAAAGTTTAAACTAAATACCTCTAACCGATCCAGTAGATTCTCAGCCACAGTATCAACAAGAGAATCCTTGGGCTTCATCAACCACGCTGCTCTATCACGCTGCCAACCATGAAACTCAAATTAAAAATGCACAATATAAACGGAAAAGTGAAACTGATATTTTTCTTAAAGAAATAATTCTTCTACACAAATAAATTTGTTTATGGTTGAATCGAGGTAAATGAAATTACTTGCACGCGCTTAAGATGGCGATCAAATATTTTGAGTTTGGAGCTCTGAAAGCCATCTCCGGCGTCAGTACAGTAGGATCTTAGGCCTTTCCAACAAAGAGCTATGCTTCTTCTCATTGTGAATTAGGTTTAGCAACAGAAAGTAGGGTTATTTATGGGCTAACCGAAACTCCAGTCTCTTCCCGAGTGTACCTTGCACCTTTTATACCTGTTATTTTAACACATAGTCGTGTGTTTTTAAACTTTACCCTGATAGGAAATTTCACACAAATCATGCCCATAAATAACCAAAATGTCCCTACCTCCAAATCCTTATTGCCAGCTGTAGTTATCCAGCGAGCAGTTCCGATTATCGCTGGAAGCTACGTAAATCTAACGTTATCAAGGCGTCAACGCCGGTGGTCGACGAGGGNAATCAAAATCGAGTTACAAGTTCAGTTCAAAAATTCAAAATTAACAAGATCCAATTGAATTTTCAAGCTTTTTCAATAGCTCAACAATGATGTTTTTTGAATTTTCCACCCATTTTTCACAAAACCTGTGATAAACTTTTAAATCTAGCACACTTAAATGATTTTTAAAAACCCAATTGGATATGGCTGTTGCATTACTTCGACGATGCTGAATCTCTGGTTTTTTTTGTCCTCCTCTAATTCTTGGCAAATATATTTGGTGGTATGTATGAAGGCATAAGAAGAAATGCTGCAATAATGGAAGAAGATGGTAAAGAATAGTGGATTTTTTATTCTAAAAAATAAAGAAAAGGATTTAGAAAAATGAAAAGGCTGGACAGTGCTGTCAAAATGCCTTTAGACACAAAATTTTGATCGTTCACTCGCCTCTTATGTGTGAAAAACACGCGAGTGACATGTAATCAAAAATGTGTCTTTTTGATACGCTTTTGAAAGGTTTTGTGTGTAAAATGAAACTCGTGATCAACAGGTGTGTAACAGGGATTTGATCGTAAGTTGGATGGGTAAACTATATATTTCGCCATAGAGTAATTATAAAAGTTATTAATAACTTTGCATCTTAATAAGTTAGGAAAGTCGGCTTCAAATAAAAATATATACCAGATTTAAAAAAATATTTATGGCCTCTTTATACCCCCAACTTTGTCGACCCTAGCCCTTTCAAGTGAAAGAGGTAGGGCCGGCCGTTAATGCGGATGATCTTAATGAAGATTTTGCTCAACAAAGTGATACGACATCAATTTGTACTAGTAACTTAACTTAATTTGTGTTTGGTAGAAGTTGAGTATCTTTTAAATTACGTCGTAGAAAAGATATTAGAAAGAACTCTATATTTGATTATTTTTTAGTAATTAAATTACTGAAAGTAGTAAGCTTATTCTTCCTATCTATTTGTTGGAAATGACGTGCTTGTTACGTGTTTGATTGTCAAGACTTAAGGTTGTCGGCTGAAGAGTTAAAGGAAATGAAATGAATAAGGAAAGTAGGGTTAGAGATAAAAGAATAAGAGGGGTGACGTGGCAGCATCAGGAGCATCCATAGTCACTTAAGATATGTGGCTCACACTATAAATTCTAATAAGATCTAAGAGTGGAGATTAAGTGGAGGATATTCTAGAAGACTATTAGTAAGGAAAGGCTCAACAGAATAAGTTATGCCAATTATCAGATTTAACTACTCTTCTCTCTCTATACTCTCTCTCTTTGATTCTTTTTCTTCTTCCTCTTCTCACCTAAATTCTTCTTCATCTTCTACAGAACTCCATTGTAGTTTGTAATAGTGTAGCCATGGCAATTACAATGTATTGTACTTAGATACATTTGAGCTAATAAATCGCATTTGACTTCTGCTAATTATCTCATTTACAATTTTATTTTTGAATTTCATTACAAATCATTACAATTTGTATCAGAGCTCTTTCTTGGCCTTAAGAAAATGACAATTACAGAGACTAGATCAAAATCTACTGAAGAAAGCATCAAAAGAGTGGAGAATCAATTGCAGGAGCACATGGCCTCGACGAACCGGAAGTTCGAGGACTTGAGCAGCAAACTGGATCTGTTAATGGAGAAACTCCTTCCTGCTTACGATGGAATCCTGGGGAGTGCTCCAAGAGAAGGATTGCAACTAAAAAAGGAGCTCGGCATAAGTATGGTGATTCAGTAGAGTCTTCGCTGGAAGGGGTCAATTCAATCATAGATTCGAATTCCCTTACTTCGATGGAGTTCATGGCTGCAAAGGTGTGAGTGATATTTCCAATACAATCAGGTGTTGGATCCTCAGCAAAAACTCGAAGCTGCAGTTCTTCACTTAGTTGGCAAGGCTGAGGTTTGGTTCTTCTCATACTAGATAAGCCATGGATCTATCTCTTGGAAAGATTTCTGAGAAGAAATCTGCAGAAGATTTGTAGGTTCAACTTAATTGGTGAGTTCAAAAGATTAGAACAAAAAGGCACAGTTAATGAATATCTGGAAAAGTTTGAAGAACTTAAGACTTGGGTACTAACTAGAAGACCTACTATTCCAGAAGAATTCTTCTTGGAGTTCTTTGTGGAAGGTCTTAAGGAGGAAATTAGGAACATAGTGAAAATGCTCAACCCTTATGCATTGAGTCAGGCTGTGGAGAAGGCTAGGTTTCAAGAGAAAGTTATTGAAGCTCAAAATAAGAAAAGCAAAATCACTTGGAGTAAGGGCACAATACAGACTAACAATTCAATAGTAAATAGAGCTCAAGATAACTGGTCTAGAGATGGGCAGGGAAATACATCTAATGTAGGAATCAAAAGGAACCACAATCTATGATACAAATGTGGGGACAAATGGGTGCCTGGGCATCAATATAAGAGCAAATAACTCAATGCAATGACAGCTGAAAAAGAAACAATAGAGCCAGAACAAACAAGTGAGTTGCCAAATGCATTAGAGTACATTGAGAACTCACAAGAGATAGAAATGGTGGAGGAAGCTGTTAGCCTTAATGCCTTATCAGGAATAGAGGTTCCAAATACAATCACCTTGAGTGGAACAACCAAAAAGAAAGTGCTAACTATCTTGCAAGATTCAGGAAGCACATATAGTTTTTTGGATATGGAAACTGATAGATAGATTGGTTGCATTCTCAAGGAAGCTAGACCTATGAGAGTTACTTGTTACACCCCATGTTTTCGTACATGAAAGTACACCATGAGTAAATTGATATAAGTTCGGGAATGAGATTATTTTTGAGGTTATAAGTATTATGTTATTTCAAACAAGTGATAAGTAAATTCGTGAATGTTAGAGGGTAAACGAATCAAAGTAAATGAGTTTCGTCGAAGTTTGACATTTTGGGATAAAATATGGTCCGAGCCATTGTGACGACCCAAAGGGTCATCACCTGTTTTCTCTTTCATTTCGTGCTTCCGAGGCCTTGAAAACCTCATTTTTACTTGCCTTGATTTACGTGTGCAGTCCGAGCGCGTAGCCGGAAAGCTTAAATATGAATTATGTGTAAAAATTTATGAATTTTGATATTATTATGACAAAGTTGACTTTGGTCAACATTTTGGGTAAACGGACCCGGAGCCGTGATTTGACGGTCCCGGAGGGTCCGTAGAAAAATGTGAGACTCGGGCATATGCCCGGAGTCGAATTCCGAGGTCGAGAGCCCGAGCAATGAATTTTTCTGTGAAATTGTTTTTCTGAAATTATTAAGGAAAATGGAAATGAAAATTGATTAAAAGACTATGGTATCGGGCTCGTATTTTGGTTCCGACGCCCGGTACAAGTCTTAAATATGAGTTAAGCGCTTTCTGTAAAGTTTGGTCGAAATCGGACGTCATTTGACGTGTTTCGGACCTAAATATCTAAAATTTGAAGTTATGAAGTTTGAAATGAAAATGATGATCTTGAGGCTTGATTCAATGATTTTTGATGTTATTTTGGCGATTTGATCGCTCGAATAAGTTCGTAGGATGTTATTGAGTTAGTGTGTGTGATTGGTTAGGAGCCCCGAGGGCTCGGGAGTGTATTGGAGTTGGTTCGGGGTGTTTTTACACTTAGGAAATGTAGCAGGTTTTTGGTTTCAGTTGTTGCAGGTGTTTTCTTCTACGCGTTCGCGTGGTCTCTTCCGCGTTCGCGTAGCTTTAGCCTTCTACTTCATCGCGTTCTCATCCCTCGCCTCGCGTTCGCGTATAACAGTTCCTGGACCCCAGCAATTTCCTTCTACGCGTTCGCGTCTGTCTCCACGCGATCGCGATAGCTTACCCAGTTTACCCTTCGCGAACGCGGCCCCTCTCCCGTGAACGCGAAGGGCAATTTTGCCCAGCGAATTTTTAAGTTAAAAACAGAACAGTAGCTCGGGATTTTAATAAAAATACACGAACTCCTTTCTTCTCCAAGCACTTAGGCGTCCATTGAAGCTCCCTTTCATCAAAACTTCTTGGGTAAGCATTGTTCAACTTGTTTTCTTCAATTTCCTCTATTAATTACTAAATTCCTAGCCCTAAATCATGAAATCAAAGTAGAAATTAGGGGTTTTGGGTAGAGTTAGGGTTTTGAGAATTTTGGGTGATTCAACCTCAATTTGGGGTCGAATCTTAAAACAAATTATATATTTGAACTCCTGGGGTTATGGGTGATTGGGTTTTGGTCCGAGCCTCATGTTTGGACCATGTGGGACCGGTGTCGAATTTTGGTATTTTTGGAAGAATGCTAGGGACTTCATTTCTAGGCTATGGGATTTTGTTTTTGAGTCTTATTTGATATTATTGAATTGATTATGCCTAGATATCGTTGTTTCAAAGTCGGACTGTAGAGGAAAGGCGGTATTGGAGAGTTGATTGCTATCCTTGGACCGAGGTAAGTGTTTGTTCTAACTTTGGTTAGAGGGAATAGGATTAGGATAATATTTGCTAATTGCTAAATGAAGAGTACGGTGTATAGGCATGGTGACGGTTATCTATACACCGGAGTCTAGCATGACCGTGGGTCTTAAATGTGTTTGAACCGGACTTTGTGAAACATTCTTTCTTGTCTAATTGCTAAGTTTCCTATAATGTGAAGGGTTGAGGAGGAATTGCGATTGGTATATTATTGGATCGTTGTCTCGAACTGAATTTGATAATTGAGAAAGAATGATTAAAAGAGAANTTTGAGCATCTAGAGCAGGGTCAGAGTGTTAGTGACCGATTATGAGGCGAGGTTCTCTGAGTTGTCTCGCCATGCACTTATGATACTTCCCACGGAGGCAGAGAGAGCATGGAGATTCGTTGCGGGGTTACACCCCACTATCCGGTCGGGTATGGCCCGAGAGGTAGAGATGGGCACTGGGTATCAGCTAGTACTTGAGATTGATCGCAGGATTGAGGGTTACCGTCTGAGGGGCAGAGAGCAGATGCAGCAGGATAAGAGGGCCAGATTCTCAAGAGAGTTCAGAGGCGCCCCAGCTAGGGGCA